CGAGAAGGACAAGCATATATTAAACCATATCATCCAAAGAAAGAAAAAAAAAAATACTGATCTTGCGGACCATGCTCGCCGCAACAACCTTTTATATTTTTCTTCCCTGAGGCGTCAAAGAAAAACCAAGCGCAACTCGAAAAAAAAAAAAAAAACAAAACAAAACAAAAAAACTTAGTAACGATATTATTTGTAGTCAAATGGGCGTCCCTGTGACTTCGGTGGACCGTATCCACCGATTAAGACAGAAAAAAAAAAGGGTAACCCCGCGCCCGGTAACCATGCTAATCTGTAACTCCAACGAAAAGACTGCGATTTTTAAACACTGTTCAAAACTTAAGGGATCAATTATTTCAATAAGTGATGATTACTCACGTGAGAGGTTTTTAAAACGCAAGAGGCCTTTGAGAAAGGGCAAGGGAGTGTAAACAAAACGGACCTAAGGGTAAGCTGGTAAAAAAGAATCTGTGGATTTATAATAAACGTTTTTACTGGGATGAAGATAAAAGTACTAGAATAAAAGTTAATACCAGACAAACTATGACTAATCTTGACTGACAGTTTGTCTCTCGCTCGACTCTCCTAAAAATTTCAAGCCCTAATGCAGGAAGTCAAGTAAATAAAACGGTAGACGTTGAGTACCTTTCCTTGTAAACAAACCACATATAGTTGCCATAACAAAAACATAGTTTCACGATGGCCTTCCTGATAGCGAGGTAACGTCCCCTAATTACAGTATCTTTCGGAAAGATGGGGGAGTTCACGGAGGAGAATTACGTTTTGCGTTAGTACAAATATTGATGCAATTCTATTAGAAAAGTCAGAGAATATTGAAGCAGTATGGCTTAACGTTAACTCGCTACTGGGGCCGATAATTATTGGCACGATGTACCTTCCCCCCCCGGAGCCGATCTTTCTTTTCTTAACAAGCTGTCCGATTGCGTCAACGATACTTCGAAACGTGGTTCATCCATTACTTTGACTGGGGATTTTAATCTCTCGCTCATTGATTGACCAAACATGCGCCTGCTGGCTTCCAATTGTCCGAACTCCTTCTTTGTACGAATCACCTCTCGGAAGAATTTTGTGCAATTAGTCAGTAGCCCAACCCGCATCCAAGGAAGTACGGATAACATTTTAGACTTAGTTTTCATTTCTCAGCGCCTCGTTAATAACGTTTTTTTTTGTAGCATGGCAGACGGAATATCCTATCACGAAGTCGTTGTTACCGAGTTTATCATTGTAACAATGACAACAAAAGAGAGCATAACCGCCAGGTGACGTGATTTTTCACGGGCAAATAATCAAAGTGTCCTTGACCTGCTCGAGGTTCGTTTCGACGAGTCTACTCAATTCAGTTCACTTCCTGACACTGATATCGATGCACTGTGCTCTATATTTAAGTCAACCGTGCAAGAATGCTTGCGCAGTTTTTTTCCTACGGTAGGAAAACACTCAAATACACACAACCGACAGATTAATCGAGATATTATTTGCCTAACGCAATACATTTCCCGAACTCGAAAATTAAGTGATAGGAGCAGTCTGCTTATTCTTGAGAAACTGAAGGCACATCTTCGGATGCAAGTGCGTGTTGCGAAGTTAATTTATTGTAACTCCATCCTTCACTACTTCCTAAAGTCTGGTCAATGAAAAGTTTGGAGGCACGTATCGCCTAAAGGTTCCCAAATAACCAAACCTCGTGCCGGAACCGAGATTATCTCCGACACTCTCAAAATGGCTACATTTTTTCTGTCGTTATTTTGACTCCGTCTTCACAGATGATAAAGGTTCCTGTGTCGCTGCTCCGGTAGTCATTGATTTTTGCATTCCTGATAGTGAAGGATCAATTGAAGGCGTACTTTTATTGCTGCCTTGATAATATAAGGTCACAAGACCCAGGTATGTTCCCAAAACATTTTTAAAACGATATGCTGAATGGTGTTCCAAGTGCTTTTTTTGTTTTATTTACGTGATTCTTCTCAGAGGCATATTTTCCCGGTCGGTGGAGGAATGCAAAGGTACTTCTCGCTTACAAATCTGGGGATACGTTATCATTAAACAACTACAGGCCCCTATCGCTACTGTTGACATGTGCAAAACCTTTAGAGCATACTGTGTTTGAGCATATGTCCTCTTCTCTTGAAACACAACTTTTTATTTTCGTGGCCAACATGGTTTCCGGCGCGGCCTCTAAACTACTACGCAATTGGTAGAAACGACACATGTCATTGGTAAGATACTGCACCGACAGTGGCAAGTTTAGGTCATCGTCATCGGTTGCTTGAAAGCGTTTGACCGGGTGTCGAAATCATAAATTTTTGTTAGAGCTTGCGCGCATCCTAAATAACCCCATGGTCACCGCTCGTTGTTTTTCGTTTCGCAGGGCGGAATTTCTTCTGATGCAGCAGATGTTTTGTCAGTGTCTCCGAGAACTCCGTCTTGGGACTACTTTTATTTTTCATCGTTATTAATGATGTTAAAATGTTTGTTGCCGTTGCGATGCGTTTTTATGCCGACGACTGCATCTTGTTTAGCAAAGTTAGAAATGTCAGCGATCAACGATTACTTAACCGCGATCCGGAAAGGCTATCTGAGTGGTGCACGACTTGGCAATTTCCGTTCGATGTGGGAAAGTGTGTGCCAATGACATTCTCTAGAAAACTTTGGCCGCTCACTTTCTCCTATCATATTAATAACAACCCTTTGCAAAGTGTCTCTACGTACAAATATTTAGGTGTGATCATTTCGGCTGATTTGAAGTCGAATGTACATGTTGACTCTGTTATTTGTAAAGCCCATGGCAAACTTTGGTACTTGAGGCGCAACCTAAAGCACTTTTCGTATAATATAAAACCCACTGTATACAAAACCCTCATTAGGCCTGTCTTTGAATATACCTTTGAGGTTTGGGGCCCTTATACGGTATTAAACATTGACAAATTAAAAAAAGCACAACGATTCGCGTTGCAATTCATATACAACCATTATAAACAAACCGATTTTGTTACGCCACTCTATGGGAAAGCTCAAATTGAGTTTTTATCTTCTCGGCGTCGCAAGGCGAGACTCAAATACTTATACTCCTTGCTAAGTTGTGATTTTAACATTGACACCTCAAGGTATTTGCTACGCGTAAACTGTATAACTGGACGCTCATTCCGGTCTTTTGTCATTGCAATTCTTACCAAGTTTATTTATTCCCATGAAGTATTGAGGGGTGCAATAACCTTACTCAAGAGCATGTTAATTCGACATCTGCTGAAATATTTTTAACTGTACTGTGTAGTATTTGAAAAATTTTGTTAAGAGTTCTGCAGTAACCAGATGGCGCCAGTCGCCATCACGTTCACCCTCTCCCCAGGATGCGCAGTTCCATGCATGTTGAACGTATTATATTAGTGCGGTGGGAATTCCCGACGGCGTCGGACGTCTCTCTCTCGTCGGCGTTGTCGCGCCGACCCCGGCCCTCGGCTACCTCCGTCTGTGCCATGTGAGACCCTCTTTCTTTCCGCAGGCCCGCGTGGGCTCTGCGCCTTCTTTGATTTTTACGAGTTTCTCAGGTGTTCTAATTACTACATTTTTGGCAAGGAATAACTACATACTGGAGAGTTGTTCATGAACGGTTCTTGCCTTCGCGTTCTTTGTTTACTGTTTTGTATTTTAGTGTTGCATATCTAAGCGTATTTTTGTTGAGTTTCTAACATACACTTTGTGTGTGTGTAAGTTCTTATGCATCAACTATCCTTTAACCACTCCTGCCACAACCTACAGAAGGAGGTTAGCAGTACGTATAAATAAATAAATAAATAAATAAAAATACTAACAATGTCTGCCCAAGTTCTAGCTTCGCCATGATTTGGCGCCGTTGCGCCTGTTTCATATCGCCACCGCCAGGGGAGTCACCTCCCCATACAATGAGGACGATGCTTATTCGTTGCGAATCGCTACTACAGCAACCTGCACCGCTGCTACAGCAACGTATCTGTTTTGAATACTTTCGAACGCTTATTTTAAAGTGGTTAAGTTAAAGTTTCAAAAAGTGAATATATGTGGTGGACGCTATGTATCCTCCGACAAGAATTACAGGCCAGACGAACGAGCTGGTAAACCCTTACAATGTTGACACATCGAAAACTGAAAGTTGTTATTGATAACTCCAAGGTCCAGGCGAAGAGCAGGAGGGGAAGAGGAATTGCAATGGTCAGGTTCATCTGGGCACAAAACTGCTACAAAGTGCACTAAGCAGGGTGGAAGGTGTTAGCTTTGCCAAGGCTCACGTCTCGTGTTTGACGTACTTTGCCTGTCATCAGTCACCCGTCACTACCTCGAGGGGCGCGCGAAAGAGAGAGCTGGGCACGTATGCCAATGAAGCAGTACCGAAAGAGGCCATGGAATGGTTCATGGGCTGATCCAGCTTTGACGTCAGGGAGGCCCGAACCAACTTGGGCTTTGAGTGAAGCCTCAATCAGCAGTATGCTGAGGCTTCACTCAAGCATACGTTCAAAAAGGCCTGTCAATTTAAAAAAGCCTGTCAACTTATTTTCCCTTGCAAAAAGGCGACTTCTGCCTACGCTTGCGTAGGAGGAGGAGGTAGAATTTGGGTCGAAGTTTTTTTCTCAAAATAAGCTTCGTTCTCTTTCACGATCCCGGGTGTCGGTTGGTGTTTTAGAAAATGACAGCCCCGCACCTTCTTTTTCGAGTCCGCCTAAGGCGCGGCAAAAAGCGGGGTAAAAAAACTAACTAATTTCCTAAGTGTGATCAACAGCTATCAAGCCAAGTAACCAAATTAGTATATAGAATGCGAGAATGTACGAGAGAGGCTGAATTACTTCCTTCACGTCGTTCACAATTGGTCTTGTATGGGGTAGCGACCGCCATTGTGGTGATAGCTGCAAACGGCGATTGGGCAGGCTTTATCAGTATAAAAGATACTATGAATAAACAAGCGATTCCTTAAGGTACATGACTCAGGTATTAATTTCTAGGCTCTTACTTACCTATAGCCTTCCAAGTCAGCTATCTCCTCGGCACGCGTGGTCCAGTCGATGGCATCTTCATCCTTGTTGAGCCACTTCTCAAGTTCGAGCCTGTTGGCTTCTACTATGTCGCTCAGAACGATGTGCTTGAATCGACTGGAGGCCACGAGCGAGCACCAAACCGAAGGACCGCTGCCCACTTCCAAGAGAGTATCGCCTTGAACCAGATCTATGGAAAGCAGACTAGAGTTTGATATTGACCCAGCTTTATTTACACAAATTCCGCTCTAGCATTCGCATCCTATTGTTTAAAAAATCGCCACGATTCACAAACGTATCGTGTTTTGTACCCACAATTGGCTCAGTTTGTGATTACGTCACTACATGGCACTGCGCTCCAAACAAACCGTTGCTAGAGCCGCTGCGAATATCTATCACAGCACACCACCAAATATTCGTTGACACCGAAATTCATGCGACAAACGAGCGGTGAACGCCACCAAAGCCAAAGCATAATGCCAAGGCGTCAGTTGTGTGAGCGTCTTCATCTGCACACAAATGACGCACTTACAAACGCTAAGAAGGAGAGTGCACTACCGCCGCACAGCATTCGCAAATAGGGCGTTCACAACATACGTTTGTATGGTTTGGACGTGGTTCCAACTTCAAAGATAGTCAGAAATCAGAGCCATTTCTTTGACAATATTGCTCGTGCCGCGCGCCGGCCGTTGGCCCCTGCTGGTAGTGGAGGACGATGGGTGAACAAAATCAAGCTCACATGGATCGGCGGCGCTGAGCCCCAGGCCCGAGTAAGACTTGTACAAAATATAAGAAAAGTATTTAAGTCAAGTTACTGAATGCCAGGAGAAAAAGTTACTGATTAGAGAACTAAATACCTACATATAAAAAGCATTTGAGTAGAGTACTATATAGTCATAAAACTAGCTCGTTAATTGTCGGATACTCTCAAGTGTCCAGAGCTGAATCTAGGTCACCCTGAGACTTCTGAAAAAAAGGCGGAACTAGATTACAAGTAACTTGAAGTAAGTACGAGCTACGCGCGAAAAGTTTCTCAGGTACAGTACTGAGTACTGACTTCTGAAGGTTTTTTAAAAACAACAAGTTACTCCCAAATGTATCTAAGATACAGTAACTTGAGTAGAGTATTTACGTTACGTACAAGTCTGGCACGAGCCCATCCCAAGCAGCAGACTTGCATGCGTAGCTGCGGGCATGCAACTTTAATTTTTCCGGAAAAAGTCTGCGCAATCAATGAGGAAAAGACTACAAATAAATCACGGGTAAATGCCCCGGTATCTTTAGAAAAATCAAGCAGCCAATCCTTATGCACCCATTATATTAGTTGCGCCGTACACAATTTGATGTCACATTCTGCTCCCCCCCTCCCCCCCAACTTACTCAACAGCGTTCAAGATAATATTGCCATGGAGTAAGGTAAAAAGGCGATAAATAATGAACTGAAAAGAAAGGTTTCATCGGCGCACTTGTGCCAAACCAAATAAAGAATAAGCGTCGAAACAGCACAAAAGCGGGCGGAGATTTGGCAGCATAATAGGAAGCGAGATGGAGACTGACTCGACAAGGTCACGGGCAGCTCCATATCTAGTGTGCGTCGGACTCGCAAAAAGTCGGCCGAGAAGGTTCGAGCAACGAGCGTTTGGGGGGAAAATGAACGGGAACTTTCGAGAACAAGAAAGTAGGTCGAAGTAATAAAAGTTACACCCCGAGTAAAAAAAAATTCACAGGGTCTTTTATGATATCCCTAAGACGACTTCCAGTCGAAAGCCCAAGCGCCGATCTCGGTGATAGCGAACCTCCGGAGACAGCGTGCTCTCTGACGACGCACTTTTGGCGCCGTTAATCTCACGTCATGTCGCACGCCCGCCCTTCACCGCTGCCCGATCTAGAGCACTATATAGCTCCTTCGGAGCAGAGTACCGCAATCTAGAACGCCATCTCTCGGCGACTTGCGGCGAACTCCTGGAGGTTCCAACTCCGGTCAGAAATGCATGGGGAACGTGGGAAAATCGCTGTTTCTTCAATGTTGTGGGGATGTACGGAACGACAATATTTTTTGACATAATAATAAAACATTTTACAATAATTTACGCTAAGTTCTGTGCCACGTAAGGACGTAATATAAAAAAAAATGCCTAAGCGGCATCATGCAGCAGACGACGCGGCGACGTCACACCGCTCACGCGACCCGCTCCGGCCAACCCCTAAAAAGCCCATCTCCGCTGCGCAAAACAATCGTCTGCTTCAAACGCCATTGCCTTGGAAATTGGCTTCTCACAAATTTTACATGCATCCAATGTTATTAAAACTTTGATAAAGTGTTTAGTGCTGTACCAACTTCACGACATATTAGTTTCAAAAAGTGTGAGCATGCCGTTTATTTTTTAATCAGCCGTGTTGAGTCGATCTCCATGTATTCTCCCATAGGGCGGGCCGCCTGCTGGAAGCCTGAGTACCACGTGACTCGCGCCGAGCTGCTCAGTCGGCCATCTTGTCGGCGAAACACGCGGATCAAAGGATTGCGCAACTCTACTCGGTAGGAGCTATATAGTGCTCTATACTTCGTTTCTGCTTTGGTCCAAGCGCAGCCGATGTTATGAGCCGAAGGGCCAATCAAATACCGAAGGAGGCACAGCGTGATGGCGTGCACTCCGCAGTCGATAGGACCAACCGGTATTCGCAGTATCTCTGTGCGTGCGTGATCCTCCGCCGACTAGTCTTATCAAGCGCAGAGAGCACGCCATGACGTTGCGCTTTTTGCGTTGTTTCATTGGCCCTTCGACTCATAACATTGGTCGCGCTCGGACCAAAGGTGAAACGAAGTATAGCCCGATCGAGAGTTTCCTCCTCTCCCGCTGGGATTGCGCCGTGCGCGCGCATCCGCGGATTGGGGGACAAGTAACGCCATCTCCTGGGCGAGTGGCGAACCGTGGATTTTGATACCTTTCGTGTCGGCGACGTGTTTTCGTACCTTTCGTGTTGCCGACGTCTTTTCGTACTTTTCGTGTCGCCGACGTGTTTTCTCTCAAGGACTTTGACGGTCAACTAAACGATGAGACATATAGGGCTTTCGCTTTAAAAACGCGAATCTCCTAGATTACCGTGACCAAGCACTGCTCGGCCCCGTGTGCGGCATTATCCCCCCTCTAGAAGCGAATCTTCACGATGCAACTTGTAAAGAAAACGAAAGGGGCTAAAAATGAAAAATACAATGAGAAGAAATAAACATGCAGCGTCACAGTCCTAACCCGCGTAGAACGGCTTGTGTGGAACTACGTGGAGCACTTCGGGTCGTGGCTGGTGACATCCTGAAAACCGTGTTCCGTCGGGAAGCAACTCGTAGGTCAAGTCCCCAGGGATGACCTTGTGGGGTCCAAAGTAGCGTTTTAACAATTTCTCACTGAGGCTGCGGCGGAGAATGGGCGTCCACACCCCCATTCAGTCTCCGGACTGGGACTCCACGTCGCGGCGACGAAGGTTGTACCGGTCAACGTCGACACGTTGTTGGTCTTTCATGCGAAGGCAGGCTAGCTGGCGTACCTCTTCTGCACATTGGGTGCCCAGCTGGGAATCGTCGGTGCCGTGTCTGTCGGGTAGTGGGGCAGCATGGCGTCGAGCATCGTCGTCACCTTTCTGCCGTGCACCAGCTGAGAAGGTGTAATCCCACTGGCTTCTTCAACCACCGCGTTGTACGCAAAAGTGACATAGGGCAACGCCTCATCCCAGGTCGTGTGTTCCATGTTCGCGTGCACCGAGATCATGTCGACAATGTTCTTGTTTAGTCGCTCTGTCAGCCTGTTGGTCTCCGGGTGGTATGTCGTGTTTCGACGGTGATCAGTGTGGCTCAGGCGGAGTATCTCTTGTGTCAGCTGCGCCAAGGACGAGCAGCCTCCGTCCGTAATGAGGACTTGAGGAGCGCCGTGTTGGAGGACGATAGACTCAACGAAGAACTTGGCTACTTCCACAGCAGTTCCCGACGGGAGTGCTTTTGTGTCGGCGTACCGGGTGGCATTATCAGTTGCCGCGATTATCCAACGGTTTCCCTGCTTCGACAGCGGGAAAGGTCCAAGTAGATCCATGCCAACCTGCTGGAACGGCGCGGTCGGGGGCGTGATGGGCTGGAGGAGGCCCGCCGGATTCGTCGGCGGTTTCTTCTGTCGTTGGCACTCCTTGCACGATCGCGTGTTGAAGTGAACAGTCTTCGGGGGCTTGAGCGAGTAGTACTTCTGTCGTATCCTTGCGAGAGTCCCGCGGTAGCCAAGGTGACCGGATGTAGGGTCGTCGTTGCAGGCTTGAAATATCTCTTCTCGAAGACTACTAGGAATTACCAGGAGCCACGTCCAGTTGCTGTCCCTGAAGTTCTTTTTGTAGACACGGCGAATCTTGACAGGACACGTGAAAAGGCTCCGGGAATCGTACCCCCTCGTGCCTTCAAGTGGGCGATCAGTGCGCGCAACTCAGGATCGTCCCGATGGAGCGCTGCCAAACCGTTAACGCTCACTGTCCCAGAAAGGGATTGTCGTCGTCGTCGTCTGTGGCACAGCCGGTAGCTGACTCGACGGGGGCTCTGGACAGGCAGACGGCGTCGCTGTGTTTTCGGCCTGATTTGCAGACCACGGTCATGTCTTACTCTTGCAGTCGTAGGCTGCATAGAGCGAGGCGTCCCGATGGGTCCTTCAGGCTCGCTAACCAGCATAGCGAATGGTGGTCGGTGATCACTCCAAAAGGGATTCCGTATAAGTATGGGACGAATTTCGTTATAGTCCGAACGACGGCAAGGCATTCCCTCTGGGTCGTCGAGCAATTTCGTTCCGCGTTCGACAACGTCCCACTGACGTAGGCGATTACGCGCTATGTACCCTCTTGTTGTTAGACTAGAATCGCTCCGAGTCCTGTATTGCTGGCGTCCGTGTGAACTTCTGTTTCGACTTACTGGTCGAAGTGGCCAAGAACCGGCGGTGACTGGAGTCGTCGCTTCAGCTCATCGAATGCCTGCTGCTGTTCTTCTCCGCATTCGAAGTTCACGACGTCTTTCGTGAGGTGCGCTAGCGGCGCAGAAAGCTTGGCGAAATCCCGAACGGACCGCGTGTAGTACGCGTAAAGTCCTAGGAATCTTCAGACGGCCTTCTTGCCGGTGGGCGATGGAAATGCCGGTACGGCGCGAGTCGTCTCAGTGTCACTGCGAACACCTTCGTTGCTCACAACGTTGCCTAAAAACTTCAGTTCGTCGTAGGCGAACCGGCACTTCGTGGGCTTGAGGGCGAGTCGGGCGGTCCTGATTGTTTGAAAAAAAAAAAACCCGAAGGCGTCGCAGGTGCTCGTGGAAGTTGAGGGAGAATACCACGATGTCGTCGAGGTAAACGAAACAGCTCTGCCACTTGAGGCCTGCATGTACGGTGTCCATGGCACAATGGAACGTTGCTGGCGCCGTGCACAGTCCGACGCACATCACCTTGAACTCGTACGGTCCATCGAGCATGACGAAGGCACTCTTATCTCGGTCCCCGCAGGGGGCACCTTTGAAAGCACGTGTTTGGTGAGTGGCGTCACCACGGACCCCGAGCCATGCGGGTTCGCCCGCCCACGTCTGGCTGTGCGTGGCTTTCCCGCGTCCGTTAAAAAGGGCATCCTGGTAGTTATTGAGCTGAGCCCGGGCTAGGTCTGGACCCTTCAAGGCCCCCCGGGTGAGGCATTGCACCACTTCGGCCCCCACTTCTCGTAGACGGGAGTCCTGGTAAGGCCCGCCCAGGATGATTCAGTCTAATCGCCTTTTCTTCTATCCCCTCCAATTTTTCACTTTTACCTTCTCTGTTTCTTTTACTTCTCTCTCATTTTTCTTACTCCCTTTTCACCCCTCTTTGGCGGCATGGGCTAACCATGGGTGTCGATGGACCTCTGTCTTGACCCACACTTGTGTATAGTTTCCCGGCAGCACTGTTAGAGTAACGTCTTCAGCCAAGCACTTCTTGTCATGGTGCGTTACCTAACCCCTTGTTGGCCTCGGTGGTGGGCGGTGCACCGCGGATTCTGAACACTCTTTGCCTTCCTATGGCGTCCCTCTCTTCCAAACCCCGTTTGGGGCAAGCCGTGAAAAGGCGCTGCCCTGAACACAAGACTATTGAAAAAGAACCTGAAGTAGAAAACTCCACGAAGTTTTTTGTTGTTTATTCTCTCGATGAACAGAAACCTGTGTCAAAGCAATCGCCATTTGTCGTAGCCAAAGTACTTGAACACCTTGTAGGGTTTTCCTACAACGCTAAAAACTCCACTCAGGAGACCTCCTAGTTGAGATAAATGACAAAAACCAAAGTGAAGCGCTGCTCAAGCTGAACACCATACTTGATGTGAAAGTGTCGGTGAGCCCTCATCGCACACTTAACATCATCCGTGGAGTCCTCTCTGAGGACGACTTCTTGCACACTAGTGAGTAAGAACTCCTCGAGGGACTCCAAGGTGCCGGCGTTGTCGCCTTAAAACGAATTATGTTCAGGAAAGATGGTGAAGAAATCTCTTCAAAACACGTCATCCTTACGTTTGAGAGGCATACACTACAACAAACAATCAAGGCTGGATACCTCAACTGCCACATCCGCCCTTATGTCCCCAACGTTTTGGTGACGGAACACGCAGCTCTAGAAGGAAGGAGACTTGTGCAAAGTGTGGCAGTCAGGATCACATCTCTGACAATTGCGAGAATGTGGCCCACTGCTCTAATTGCAGTGGACCACACCCTACTTACTATCGTGGCTGTCCCATATGGAAGCAAGAAAAAGAAATCATTGCCATTAAAGCCAAAGAAAATCTCAGCTATAGCGAAGCAAAGAAAAGGTATTCGTTTATTTCGAAGGGATCATACGCCGACGTGGCGCGCAGGGGTCTTGCGCTACACTCGGTTTTGAGGGCTACCCAGGTCTCACCTGGGGTTCTGGAGGCAGCTTTCAAGGCCCCAGACCCCCAGCTGGGGCAGCAGTGCCCCCTCGTCCTGGAGGGAGTGCACAGGCTGCTTCGCTGGTTCTAGACAGGCCGGCAACTGCCGTACCGGTCCGCACGTCGCGGTCCTCCTCTGGGGGGAAAGGGCAAAACTCCCGCCCAACCTCCTTAGAGAGAGCCTCTTCTTCCAAAGAGCGGCACAACCCTCGTGCCGCTCCCCCGGTACCCAAAGGGCTGGAGCGGGCACAGTTGAAAGACACTCTGCCCAGCACCTCCGCTGCGTCTTCGGATGGTCGTGGCCGGGGCATGCCGCCCCGTGCAATGAACCAGCCAAAACCTTTAGGTAAAGGCTCGTCTCCAGAAGTGGAGGTTATGGATGATGCCTTTGAGTCTCCCACTCTTGCATCCGACGAAGATGACATGGAGTGGCAGACCTCTAAGCTTAAAGCGAAAAAGCCAGTGTTTCCTCCCAAATAATCATTCTTTTAATATTTTCAATTTTCTCATTGCCTCTCTGATTTTAATTTTACATTTCACATTTTTAGATAAATGAAGAATTTACATTTTATGCAGCGGAACTGTCGTGGTGTTTGGTCTAATATTGATTATATTAATTATTTTATGAATGATCTCCGGCCTATTGCCCTCGCTTTACAAGAAACTCATCTCCAAGTTCGTCATACACAGATTTTAAGGCGTCATCAAGTTTTTCGTAAAGATCGTTTTAATTCCACTTCCGGTGCGTGGCAGTGATTGTGCCTGTTCCGAGGTCCCACTCTGCACCCCACTGAAAGCCTTAGCGGTACGTCTTCTTTTAGACCGCCTTATAACGGTTGTTTTTATTTATTTGCCTCCGAATGTTCCCCTGTATCTCTTTGAGCTCCAGGGACTCGTGGGACAACTCCCTCGACCCTTTTTTAATTTTAGGTGATTTTAATGCCCATCATCCTATGTGGGGCAGTACTAGTCTCGATTCTCGAGGCAGAGTTATTGAGCGGTTTTTGCTATCATCTCAAATATCTCTTTTGAAGAGGAGGGAGCCTACATTCTTTAGTTCAGCTCACAATTCATTTACAGCTATTGATTTATTTATTACATCACATTTATTACTGCCTTGTTTTTCTTGGCGGGTTCTTAATAACCCTTTTGGGAGTGACCACTTTCCTATTACTTTGGAGAGCGACATTTTTCTTCCCACTCTGTTAAAACGAATGCCTCGGTAGAAGTTAGACAAAACCGATTGGTCTCTTTTTAAGTTAAGCTCCACGCTGGATGCATCCTTGTTTTCCTCCATGACTGCGCATGAAGCCACATTGTATGTGACAGAGCAGATAATTAACGCCGCTCAGCAGTCAATCCCCCAAACTACCGGTAATCTGCCTCGTAAGTGCAAACCTTGGTGGAATAAGGAGTGTGCCATGACGCGCACGGAGCAAAATAAGACATGGGGCAAGTTCAGGCGGTATCCCACCTCAAGAAACCTGGTTGAGTTTAAAAAACGAAAAGCTAAAGCCCGGTGGACCCGTAAGCGAGAGAAACGGAAAACCTGGATTAAATATACGTCGTCTTTGAGCAGCTCTGTAACTGCTAAGGAGGTCTGGGATAGATTCAAGAAAATCAAAGGGGATTACAAGGGGTTCACGATTCCCGTTTCCAACCCTCCATGTGCATCACTAAAAGATACGACCAACGTTCTTGAGAAGCACTTCTATTCAGTGTCCAGCTCCTCTAGTTATTCAGATCCCTTCAAGTTGTTTAAACGACATGCAGCGCAACATAATATAGTTACTACGGGATCAAACGTTGCATCTTATAATCAGCCCTTCACACAGCACGAGCTGAAGAGTGCCCTAGGTATAAAAAGAGGAAGCGAGAGCGACACAGACTCGACAAGGTTACGGGCAGCTCCTTATCTGGTGTGCGTGGGCATCGCAAATATTCGGCCCAGATGGTTCGAACATTGAGCGTTCGAAGTGAGAATCAGCAGGCGCTTTCGAGAACAAGGAACTATGACGAGTTGATAAAAGTTACGCCCCGAGTACGAGTAAATGCGATTCTTCTAGAATTCCGTGACCGAGCGCTGCTTGCTTGGCCCTGCACGCAGCAATAATCTATAGCTTGTTCAACTTATGAATGATGCTTAGATTAAACAGAGCCATGAAGGATTAAAAAAAAATTGTCGTAACTACCGCGCCGGTGACGACAGCACGCTCGCTGTTCACCGACATGACGTCGCCTTGCAGAGCACACTACCTTGGGGCATAAACGTGCCTTATATCACGACGACAAATTGCGGATGCATTTACCAAACTTAGCCAGCAAACCAAGGTGCTCCTCGATCGGTAATTTTAGGAGGCAGAACTCTGAAACACAAACAAACATTGCGAATGCTAAACATTATTTACCTGAGTGAAATATGCCTCGTAGTCGTCGTCCTGCAAGAGCAGCACCTTCCGGAGGATAGTGCGCATACATTTCCATATAATCCTGTACCAGAAAGTTTTTCTTGTATGAGTCCCTCAGAGCCTGGGATGCCATGCTTCCCAAGGTGTCCGAACTGTAACTGCTGAAAGGGTACAATTACAAAGTTTAAGCCTATCTTTCTTGACTTCATAGCGATGTTGCAATGTTTAGGTATTTAAAAGTAACTTTTTTTCTTGTGTAGAGCGATTCACGCTTAGTGGTTTGAGTCCATTTCACGTTATCCCAACATCTACTTTTCGCTCTGTATACACTTTTTGAGGAACAAATACTTTAAACGACCGGGTAAAATTGGTGTGTTTATGTTTATACAGCCGGAAGTTAGTCTGCCGTAGTGGGAGTCTGGTGTCTCAGATGTAGGTGAACAATTTAGCCAGTGCGGTACAGCCTCTACCCTGGGGTCGTTAACCTGCACCACGCGGTGGTGATACACGACCGCACGCCGATACGTCACTCATCCAGATCGAAACTGGCAGGAGAGGGGATTGAAAGCCACTGGGTAGGCCATTAGGGAAGGTCGCTTCCATTGCAACAAGTAGTGCTTTATTTTTTGTTTTAGTTAGTGTACACATACCTAGATGACGTCACCGCCCCATCACTGGTAAAGCCCCTGTATTTTCTTCTCTCTTCTCCAAATGACCCTCCTTACCCCATCTCTAACTTCCAGTTTGCGACAGAGGTGCCCTCTAGAGGTTCCCAAGCGTCTCGACGTCTCGATCAGCTGAAGCGACGCGATGCGGGTCATGTGGACGTTTCTCGTCATATGAGTGTGGCAATGACCTCATTTAGAGCCCGGGTTCGCAGCCGGCCGCCCTGAAGCCGCTCTATATCTGTTTGCCCAACCGTGGATCCCAAAAGTGATTTGTATAATCGTCCCAGTCGTCCCTACCGAGTTTTATTACCGGTCAGTGTACCTGTCTGCCCCTTCTGCTTACATGAATGGCAGATCGTTTTACAGCGCAGCCTGAGGCGCCCCTTTCCGCCTTGAGCGCCGTCGGCGTCGCCGTCACTGTCGCCGTCGGCGTAACCGCGCGGTGCATTATGGGTAAATTTTCCCGCTAAATTTAGCTGAAAAAATTCCCCGCTAAATTTATCGGAGAAATCGCCCCCGCTAAATTTAGCGGAAAATTTTTCCCGCCAAATTTAGTTTTCCGCTAAATTTAGAGAAAAAAATTCCCTGCCAAAATGAGCGGAAAAATTTACCCGCTAAACTTAGCACAAAAATGTGCCCGCTATATTTAGCGGAAAATTTCCCCGCTAAATTTAGCGAAACATTTCCTTGCCAAATTTAGCACTCGTGCCTGTCGCACTGGCTTCGCTCGCATTGTTGGATCGGAGTATATAGTACATCCACGTTGCGTTGCGTTGCAAGCTTATGAACTTTGTGCGAAACAAAGCATGGTACGCGAGCGCGTACGCCACACTTGACGAGCGAGGTACTCCACAACGCCGATGCACCGAGCAGGAGCAGGCCCTCACCTCCGCACGCACAAGTGGCAGCGACACCGATGCTCCAAGGGCAAGCAGGAGCAGGCTGTTTTGAACGACGCTTCTTCCATAGCACGGGCCTCCGTGCATGCCAAGTCACCAGTGTTGCGATCGCAATTACAATGCTCGCGCTTACGGTGGAATGGAGTCTATACCTCATTCTAAACAGCTCTATCTTTGCATTCTGGTGAGCTTCATACAGAGCCCCTACAACGCATAACTTTGCGGCTCCCGTCGGGTTGAAATCTTCTCGACCGAATCAGTGAGGCAAGATCTTCCTCCGAGGTTCATTTTTCGTTCCAGAGGGAACACTGAAACGTTCTCCGGCTAACCTTTCCAGAGGCGCGGCAGCCAGTTATACCCCTGTCAGACGGGCTAGTTTAGTGTCACTACAAGCGAGTGCACTTCGCCCTTAGTGTCATTTCTGTGGTGTGCCACACGGCTCCTTCCTGAGGAACGCACTTCGCTTGGAGTGAGTTTGACGAACTCAGTTCGCTCGATCGTGCGCGTGGAATCAGTAGGAGTGTTTCAACAGTAAAACATAAACACAGAAACCAAAAGCGTGGCGTAAGTTTTATTTTATAAAGAAAAAGAAATTCGTGAAAGCGACGACATGTAAAAGAATGGCATTGCGAAAACAAAATAGTGGGGTGGACTTGGAGTTTAGGCTGATCTGAATCAAGACTAAGCGGAGCGCTGAATTGATAAAAGACGACGACAAAGTCAGTCATTCATGGCCATCTTGGTTCGCAGCGAATGATAGAGCCTACTTTTGTTTCAGCATGTAACTATTCGAGACAACACGATATGATTATGATCTGATTAGGCAGTGTCAGGGCCTCCTCGTAGACTTCCGTGGAACGAAGCGGAACGCCAAAGTTGGATATGCTTCGTTCTTTATCTTGGCTTGCGATGATCGATCAGAATCATCCAATTTGCATAAAAATCGTTCATTATTGTAACGTTGTTTTAGAGCACAGCTCCTAGGCACCTGTTTCAGGGTTGAGCGGCGTCGGCGTAACCGCGCGTTGCATTAAGGGCTATTTCCCAAAATGACGTCACACGTGACGTCACGCGTGTCGCCACGTGTGACGTCACGAGGGTAAAATTTTCCCGCTAAAATATGCGGTAAAAGCTTTTGCTAAGTTTGCCAGAAATTTTTTTTGCTAAATTTAGAGGGAAAAGTTTACCCGCGTGACGTCACGTGACGTCACAATTAAAATTTCAGATGTCCTGTCCTCTAAAATTTTCCCGCTAAATTTTGCGGTATAAGTTTTTGCTAAGTTTGGCTGAAAAATTTTCCACTAAATTTAGAGGAAAAATTTCACCCATGTGACGTCACGTGACGTCACACTTAAAATTTCAGATGGCGTGTCATGTGATGTCATACGTCAATTCAGCGGAAAAATTTCCCGACTAAATTTAGCTGGAAATTTAGCTAAACGTTTACGCTAAGTGGGATGGGAACAGGAGAGGAGGATGGGAGGGTACGGAGGGGGAGCAGCTGGCATACCCTCCCCTTCGGTCCAGGGGCGGATGCAGGAATTTCCTGAGGGGGGGGTCAGGTGTTGGTCAGCGTACCATATGTTTAGGAACCTCCTCCCCCTCTTCCTCGTTTCACGCCCTAAATTTTGCAGATGAAGAAATAAAAGAGTGGGGTCAGGACATCCGGACCTCCCCGCCCCCCCCCCCCCCCCCCCTCTAAATCCGCCCCCGTTCGTACCCTTCCTCCCTCCTCCTCAAGGGCTTCACTCCAATTCGGCATTTCAGAGAATTGTAAACGTCAATTTTTTTAAAGTGTCTTTATTAAGGGGTATCGAAGCCGAGTGGGCTAGCGCCCACCTGATCGGAGTACGTGGAGAGGAAGCTCGCGCTGGAGAAGGAGAACCAGTGATTCTGAGCTCAATCGCCAGCCCTGCCCGAAGAACACACTTCCAATGAAGTGAGTTCGGGGAGCACACTACGCTCGCTCCGGAAGACCGAGTGTGTAATCTCGATAGCAGTGTTCAATGAGTTAAAATAACAGAAGAAATTAACGCTGCGTAAAATTAGTGTTATTTTGATAGGACTAATGCTAGATGCGCACTTGTTTTCTGTTGGCAGGAAAGTAGTTCCATCGTAAACCGGAGACACGGAAAAATAAAAAAACGGACAAAACAACAAGTCTCACAAGAGACTTGTTGTTGTTTTGTCCGTTTTTTTATTTTTCCGTGTCTCCGGTTTACGATGGAAGTTCTTCACCAGCTCGCCTGTGCTTTTACCCTTTCTAGGAAAGTAGTGCATTGTAGAAAAATAAGCGGCTAATCTAGTTTCCAGCCTTGGCCCTTTTGCTACGGCCGACGAAGGCCAGGAGGCACCTGCACGACTCCACCAGGAATCTGAAGGTGGCAGGAGAGACGAGAAAGGCTTTCTTGAAGTAGAACTCGCCCAAATGGGGCAAGGTGTCTTCGAACCACCGTTCGTTCCTCTGGAAAGTCCACCGTTGTCGACTGATCACGGGTAGGTGGTCGGTCATGAGAGTGGCTATGGTGAAAGCATTGGCCTGCAGCTGCTGATCGATGTTACTTGGAATTCTTGCCTGTGCGTCGGCATCCAGGTCCAGCTGCCTCTTATCTGAAAGGCGTCGGGCTCTCACAGAGAACAGTGCCCCAAACATGCGCTTCCACTGTCCAACATCGCGGATATTGCCCTCCGGCTCGTCCTTCACACACTCCATGATGTTTCATTGTGGCGAGTGGCGAGTGGGCTTGCGCACACCAGCTCGGAGCACGTGGAGCGAAGGCTCGCGCTGCAGAACCCAGGAATCCTGGGTTCAATCTCTACTTCTGCTCGTTTCGATCTGTACTCCGTTTCACCTTATGTTGTACCGCAGACAAGGCTAGATGCGCGAGCTCATAGCGTTGGGAGCTACTCTTAACGCACGAGAGCTTGTGCCGCCTTGATATGCACTAGAGCAAAGAGCTCGCGCTTGTAGCCTTTTCTGCGGTACATCATAAGATGAAACAGAGCATCGTACCGGCGTGCGGACGTGTATCACTGGCTTGTAATGGCTGATCGTAATGATGAAATTGGATTTAAATTTGGATTAAAACTCGTGACTTAGCGCAACAATGTGTGGTAACGTGTTTCTAATAAGACGACGAAGTTATTTATGAAAAAATGCGTATGCACTGTAATATGTCGCGTGCCCATTACTTACCCATCGTTATTGCCATCATTTTGGAGTGGCACTAAGTTTTCCCGTGTAGCACCAACACACTTGGAGTGTGTTTCGACGGGTTGAAGTGCACTCGCTTGTAGTGACACTAAACTAGCCCGTCTGACAGGGGTATTAGTGTCGGCGTAGCAACATCTGGGGAAACTTATGGCTACCGGAAGTCCAAAACCGAAAGCAGGACGTAACGTGACGACTGGTCAATAGTGTGCGCTGCGGCTTGTACGAAGAATGGCGCCACTTTTACCAGGATAGAGGGGCTTCAATCACTGGCACCCCTCGCACCAGGGCGTGAGACCATGCCTTATGTTTTGTTTAAACATTTTGGATCTAATTTTTTACCTGTATGGACGTGTCCTTTCTTCTCGACGTTGGCGCGATAG